AAAAATTGGGCATTTATTGTGAAAGAACGGTACCTTATATTTTATTCAAAGTATTGTCTATCGCTAGCCACTACTTTTTTCCATCTTTCTGGCAGCATACGGATACCGCGTCGGAAGAACGCTTCATCTTTTGAGGCTATCCACGAATCGATCCAATTTTTGGTATCTTTATATGATGTGAAGTGCTGCTCAGACAAGCCGTGCGTCATCGACCGAAACAAATGATAGTCAGAGGGAGCAATGTCTGGTGAATACGGCGGGTGGGGTAAAACTTCCAAATTGAGTGTTTCCAAATAGGTTTTGACCGGCGCCGCAACATGTGGACGAGTATTATCATGCAGAAGAATAATTTAGTCGTGTCTGGAGTAGTAATGGGCGCGTTTTTCCTTGAGTGCTCGGCTCAATCTCATTAATTGTGTTCGGTAGAGAGCCCCAGTAATGGTTTCGTTCGGTTTAAGCAACTCATAATAACGAATCTAATAACGAATCTTCGAGATCGAATATTCTAGAATATTCGAAAATAGCGAACGAAAGACGACTCGTTCCGCGAACATTCCAGAAGATTCGGAAATAACGTACGAGAAACGACTCGCTCGGCGAACATACCGCCCACCTTGAAGCGTCGGCTTCAACAAAATCGAATGGGGTGTATATCAGTTGGACACGGGGCAATTGGACACATTCCAATCACAAGTCGCTGTTCCAAGGGACCCTACAAATGTCTTTAATCACACGGTACTGTGATTGGCTGTGTCCAAATGCACCGTGTACAAGTGCACCGCTCTCAATCGAATACACCAACTGCCGTGTTGGATGAGTTCTTGACTCGAACACTGTGATGAAACGCCTTAACCTATGACGCAAATGCAACTTAAACGTAACGCAAATAACTCAAATAAACTTAATCTAAACGCAAAGAAGCACGAAGAATCTCCTATTGAGATGTCCAGTCGCAATTTACTGGCAGAACGCAGAGTTTGACGATGGGTCTTTTATATTCAGAGGTCGTAGTTTTGACAGTGACTAGACGCGTCAGAACATCGATACCAGGATGGCATTGAGTAATCCGTCCCAATTCACATTTACATGGAGGCAACAGATGGTTTTGTAACAGAACTAGCTGACCGGTTTTAATAGGGTCTTTCACTTGGCGCCATTTAGTCTCGGCCAGCTGAGGCTCGGATTAACACGGGTCCGGCGTAATCGAGCCTACAATGTAGAAAGCTTTGGACAGGAGCAGAAACGCGGACGGCTGGAAGATCGCCCATCAATTGGGAAGGAGTAACGGCGCGTTCCCGAGTACACGCTACGCAACGATGTATTACATTCTTTGCGATGGTTCGCGCCCGGCAGATCCAAAAGTCCCGTCGTAACGTGCTCAATGTTAGTTGGAGGCCGGCATGTAAACACCGCCGATGCGCGTGCTTTATAATCAGCGTGACTAGAGGATGAGATCCGAGCAAAACTGGATTTCGCGTCACGAGAGAGACAGGAGCTTTTGACCGCCTGCGCAAGCAAAGCACCCCATTCTGATCAAGGAACGGACTGAGTGCGAGAATCGAATTTTCCAGCGAGCTGTTGCTGGTTAGCAAGCTTTTGAATGTCCGAACTAACTAATTCCGCTTGAATATGTTTGAGCCAAAAGATTCTGGCAGTTTCATAATCTGACGAGGAAAGAGCAATCCCGGGTAATCCGGTAATTTGACGATTTGAATTGCGGCGACGGCATAAGGCGACAAATTTAAGGATGTAAACTGTTATTCTTATAAGTTTAAGCCATAATGAATACCGAGATGCTAAATCCCAAGTGTAGGAGTATAGGTATGTATGGATAGGGACAGGTTTTTAGACTCTTGCCCTTACAGACTACAGACTATATTTAATAATAATTTGAACAGGATGTAGGAACGTAACGCTCTATCGAGGATCTCGGAATAGACTATTTACCTTCAAACTCGCTTTTTCGGGGCCCAGCCGGACTCGCGTGGGAATACGAGGGCGACAACCAATCAAGGGCGATCGTACGACCCCGCGGATCAATTCCAAGGTCGGGAAATACAGTTCGTTTGTTCTTGGGATTTTTCACTCGCGCTTCCTTCTGCCAAACGTGTCGCGACACAAACAATCATGAAACGACCCGACAACGCACGTCGACAACAGAAATATGCCTACAGCTCGGCCATTCTGACATTTTGACCATCCCGGTCAAAGAAATTAAAATTCACAAAAAAATAAAATTGTACTTAAAAACTCACATCTACAGTTTAAAATTAAAGGAATACATGGAAGAAAATAATGCAAATATCACAAAATTACTTATGAATATAAGGTCGCATTTGATCAGGCGCTACGACGCCGTTATATGGTCGTTGAGTTAATTGGAATCCGTCGACATCAGTAATTACATATCGGTCATAGTTGAGAACTTTTTTGATAACATACGGTCCTTTAAATTTTAAACAACTTCTTTTTCATACTGGGCATCTCGACACTTAGGATTTCTACGTAATCGCCAATCTTATATTCACCTGCAGGTTTTCTTCGCAAATTATACCGTTTTGTATTTTGAAGTTGTAACTCCTCTATACTTGAATGAGCTTTGTCACGGATTTGTTTTAGATCACGTTCGACATTTGAATTAAGTATCTCACATATTACATCGTTCGCTTTTTCTTTCTGACCAACGCCAAATAATAAATGTGAAGAAGTTTTGTTAGTTGCTCAACACACAGTATTATTTAAAGAGTATTCAATTTGATCTAAGACTTGATCCAATTTTGATGACGTTTCGCTTAGCTTCGCTAACATCAGCGCTATGACTCTATTAAATGGTTCTACTTGACCGTTAGCTTTCGGTGTGCTTACAGCGGTAAGTACATGTTTGATGTTCATATTACGCAGAAATTCTTTAAATATATCAGAGGTGAAACAGATGA